CTTTCAGACTACAGCTAGCAAAATGAGAATTATTCTCAATTTACTTAGCGAAAAAAAAAAAAAAACAAAAAGCATAATGGTTATGTTGCAGGAGTGGACAACAGCTATCCTACTGTTGCTCTTGTACCGTACTCCTGGCTGAAGACCACCATGCATTAGACATTTTTTCTGACACTGAGCCTTTAAACACCACCATGCTGCCAATCAACCAGCCAAGTGCATCTAGGCACTGTGGAAGGGATAGTGCCTAATTTACGGTGCTGCCCTCTAGTTTGCGAGAAACACCTGCTCAATCTCTGGGTCCCTAATAAAGCTCTGGGAACCACTGCAGTAGGTGCCATTTTCCCTGTTTGCACAGAGAGTGAGCTGCCTTTGATAATAATGAGCGCAGCTCAGAACAGCATTAACCTCCTGTGCCTGCAGTGAGCTCAGAGCTGGTGAAGTCACTCAGTACTGGCAACATGAGAATAAACGAATCAAACACATCACTGAGACTTGGAACAGAACACAGGGTGCAATAGGATAGGGTTGTTTTCAGGACCTCAACCCTGTGCGGAGCTTCTGCTCCTCCTCCTACCCAGCTTTTTCATAGTCACATTTCAGTTTCAACATTAATTTCTTTCCATCTGCATGTTTGGATGCTGGGAACCATAAGGTGACTATGGAACCATGAAGAACATGTAACTTAACATGGACTCTTTGGAAAAGGAACACGAGAGCAGCTTGGCTCCTGAGGGCAGCCTAACACGTGTCTTGGACAGCAAATGTTTGATACCCAGCGAGTCGCCCCATCTGCTCCGCTGGTCATTCCAAGAGCCTTGCTGCCCATGAGAGGAATGGGAGGACCTTTTTTAGCCAGTGGAAGCAAAGCCTTTAAAATAATGGTATAAACCACCACAAATAAAGAACTGCAGCATTTTGCAAACATTTGTAACAGTGCAATGATATCATTATTATAAAGTGCGACTCATCTACTTCAGCTTCTGTTCATCTGCTCTAGCCAGCAGATTAAGACATTGAGAGCTCCCCTTAAAAAATAAAGTTTTAAGAAATAATGCAGTCTGGGCTAAACATTTTCAAATACAAATTTTAGTTAGCAATTTTAGATTTTAATAAAGTTACATAAAGATATCTCAGTTCTTGAGAATAAATACAGTGCATCACAAATTTTCCAACTTCAACATGCTTCATTTTACAATTCAGATTACTAAAAAGCACGTTTTTTAACACTTCAGATGGCATCTAAGCACACATAGATAAGCATAAATAGCTTTATCTCAGTTCTGAACAAATTTTAAAGTAAGATCTCACCATTCACATATGAAAGAAACTTTGTAAAGTGCAGGATTATCCCTTGATATCAAGAAGATGAAAGTTCAGTTCATAGGTCAGTCCCCTATATAACATCTACTACTATCTGCTGCTTGCTGTTCTGAGCACAATGAGCAGAGGACATTTCAATACGTAATCAATACTTAGCAAAGTCACAAACTTGAACAAGAGATAAGGAAAAACACATCACTTTTCTTCCTGAAAAGTAGAGTATAAGGATATCAGCAGGGAGAGCACTTGAATACTCCTCAGGATTTAGACACCATACCTGCTGATGTCTTTTGTTCCTATATCTTTTCCTTAGCAAACTTTTTTCCCCCTTGGGAACAAAAGCTTATTCTAGAAGATGCTTAGATTCCTATCAATTTCATCATTTAATATTGTCAATAATTCGCTGAGCTGTTAGAATTGGAAATAAATAGGTTTGACCTTGTATTACTTTAAAAGCTAGTCATGATTTTGTCTGGTTAATACTAGATGGATGAGTGCCAGAGAATACCTCAATACTTACAAATACCTTGCTTTGATTATTTTGAAATACTGTATAAATAAATTCAGTATGTTAACAGGTAGCTTAAAGTACCTTGTACCTTAAGTTACAATCTTCTTTTTCTCATTCACTGGGGCTGTAAAGAATACAGTAACAAAATAATAATTTGTGATCACACAGCTATACATCAGCAACAGTATTGTCAGATATCACAACCCAAACAAGCACAAGACTTAGTGGCGGGGAGTGAGGGGGTGGAATCAAGCGGATGTATTTTAGCGGATTCAGCGGATGTCTGAACTACAGCTACTAATAATTTAGCTTTCAGAATTACATTATCTGGCTGAAGGGGACCTAACAAGGCTGTCTTTCTTCACCCTGTGCTCTAAAGGTAGGATCAAATACGTGGAAATGATTTCTTAACAGTGTTTTTCCAACACATTCTTCAAAAGCCCCAATAATTTAGTAGTTCCAACAATCAACCTCAGTGCTTCCATAGCCTTACTGTTAGGAAGCTCCCCCTATTATCAAACCTAAATGTTTCTTCACTGAAATTTAAGTGCACTCATCTCCAGAAGAAATATTTTTTTCCTTTTGTTTTGCTTTATTCCTTTATGCTCTGCAAGCACTAAGGGAGAACATGGGCATCCTCCCTGCTGCTTCTGGCACAGGGAGCGTGGTGCACTTAGTTGTTGGACAGTGGTCATTCCTACCACCTGCACAGCAGGTCAGACCATATGGAGCTTTTCTACAGCACTTTTTCCGATGAATGCATTTGAAACATTAAAGAGATGTTCAAAATGCAAGCTGCATCACAAAACCAAGAAATGTAGAATTGAAGTTCCTACACTAGCCTAACTGCAGTTTCTTAAGTCTTCTAAAGTCTTCATTGTGCTCAGCTTATTTCTATCCACTAGAGCGCTTTGAAAAAAAATCTCTCTTTTCAAATGCAGCAGGCAAAAAGGTAGTAAGTAGTAGTCAAAATTAAGTCATAATTTTTGCAGCATTTTTATGCTAAATAAAACTCAACTATGGATAAAGAATTGTTAACCTCATCCTCCAACGCAACCAGAAGTGCTGGTGTCCTCCTGGCTTCCGAGTGCTTGCGAAAGCAGACACAGAATAAAACTGAGAAAACTTTAGTCAATGCATGTTACCGCCACAGCCCCCCAGAAGGGATAACGAAATTACTGAAAGTGTTGCCAATTTCATGCTGTAGCTACCGAGGACAGCTCAAGGCCACAGCAAGCGGCGGTTTCGAGCTGCGCTAGGCCCAAGAACATGGCCCCACTTTTGCTCGCCATGGCAACAGGCCGGGCCTGGGGAGGCCTCACAGCTTCCTCCCTCCCTCTCAACCACCACCAGGCCCAGAGCAGAAAGCCTCATACTGAGGCTCAGTTCACTACCGAGGAGCCCTGTAGCAAATACACACACCAGTTCATTTGTTTTACACAAGTGTCAAATTGCCAAGTTTTATGAGTATTCACTATTTTTTCTTTCATAAAGAAGAGCAGCTGCAGAGAGATCCCAGCAGTCATAAACAACTTCGAATATATACACTGGAAAGCAACATCCCATACTTGCTTTCACACAGCAGATATAAATCTATTGAACGACAGATGAAACTGCAGAAGATGTAATTCCAATAAGACACAATAAAATTAAGGTAGCATTTCAGTGCATTTTGTCTGATAATGGTCCCAACTAGAGAACAGAAAAGCAGAACAAAAAGTAGTTAAGGTTTTTTAAAAAGTCACTACAAAGACTTTTCTTTTTAATTTAAAGCAGGCAAATGCCTCTCCTTTTGTAAAGAGCTGTTAAGAGTACCCCCCCTGCCCCGGGGAGGGGAGAGTAAGCATTAAGGCTAAAGTCCTGCAGAAATGCATTATTGCCTATTCCCCTTGGTAGAGAGGACACACCAGCTATCTGCTGAGCCATGTGTGAGCTAATAGCAGTGGCTGCCAAGACTCCCCTATTAAATTACAGCAAAAGGCACCTAGTAAGAGATAGTAAAAAAAATCAATTAACTGCAGAAATGGCAAAAGAAATAAAATACACCGGTCAAACACTTCACTGTTCAGACATATGAAAGTTTCCTGCATGCTTAAAAATCAGAAATATAATGCTAAGTAAACAAAATTACCGTGTTCTCTTTACTCTGTTAAGTACCAAGTACTTACCAAGTACTTAACAGTACCTGTAATTCCTACTAAAACGAAAAGGGCTTGAAACAAGTGGTCTTTTTGCAGGGCAAGCCTCTTCATCAATAACCAATTAAAAGAAAAAGGAAAAAAAAATCATTTCTAAAACATGGGAATTATGCTGTGGTTTCAAACCTAACTTTTGGCACACAGATTGAATGCGTTCCAAAATCCTCTCCACTCCTGTGCCCTTATGGCTGTAGTAGTAAAATACAACACATCCCATACCAGACTGCATGGATACACCCCTGGCAAAGTTAGAAGTCAGCAGAAGGTATAAGCAGTTCAAAGAAATATATTAACAGAGATTTCACTTTTTCAGTTCCATCCTAATGGATAGATCAATTCAAATTTTCAGGTTTTCCCAATTCTTAACGTTAGATGCAGCCTGCATTTAGACCTCTCAATACACCTGCTGGAAGATCTGCAGGTAGCTAAAGGTAGAAAGTGGTCCTTAAAAATACTCTGCAATTCTAGGAAAAAAAAAAAAAAAGCTATTGATAAGTCCTTGTGGATTCTCTGATCCCATTTTCCCTTCTCTGCTTTTAATACCCTTTCTATCTTTCTCACACATTCCTAGAAACAGCAGCATACACAAAATCAAAGGAAATGACCGAATGGAACTTCTCTGATTAGGTTTCTCCATAAAACAAATACAATGATTTAGTACTTAGTGAATTTGAAGGTGCCATTTTTTAAACACACTGAAGACTAAATTGAAATACTTCAAAGACACTGAGTTTTACATCCTTCTGCTTTACAACATGCCAGATTTCTTTATTTCCTGATATCAAAAAAAAAAAAAATCTTGCCCAACCACCTCTACTGGTAAACCTCATTTGGTGTTTCTAATGCGTGTTAGTTAACAGGAGAATAGGAAGTTTCTTCCGAAGCTTAGGAATTTGGATACATCTGCCAAAGACCATGGTGAAAACCACTGTGCCTTTAGAACACTATTGTCAGTAGCAGCATCTCACCTCTCAGTACTGACTTGAGGTTCAACTTGGCTTGTCGGTGCAGGTCCTCCACACAAGGTGGTCTTGAGGAAGGCAGAAACACATTTTCCTGCTGGTGCCATGGAGCACTGTAGTGGACTGTCCATCTACTCTCTTCATCTAGGTTGGAAACAGCTGCAGAGAGACAATAATTAGAAAATTAAATGCTATTGCAGGTAACTGTGATGCAACCTCACCCATAAGCATGTCTGTCAAGTGCCATCTTAAAAGCAATAAGGCTGTTCACCTCCTCTCCCTTAACAAAAACGTCTCTAGAACTTCACTTCCTCTCATCTCCAGCGTAAATTTCATCTTCTGTGTTACACAGGAAACTTTTCCCTCTCCTCTTGTTTATATTGCTGAGATATTTACAGTGAACTCCCCACTGTATTTCCTCCCATCTAGCTCCCAGATTTCTCTGATGAAACCAGTTTTCCACTCCCTTGATCATGCCAGGTGCTGCGTGCTCAGGATGACTTCCTCCTTCTCAAGGGCAACCCGAGAATATTACAGTCACCGTGAGACACTGCTACCAGTTCATCTGTACCACAAAATTATCTTTTCTGATCTCATGGCTGCAAAAAAAAAGCTTCAACCAAAACCAATAAATAAAAAAAATTCTCGTCCTGCTGAGTGCAAGGCCAACTCAGACAACAGCAATTCGCCAGGCAGCGCACAAGCATACTGAAGGAGGACTGCACCAACATCTTTTCTCAGCCAATACACACACAGAAAATAAAACACTGAAGCGGCTCAAGTTCAGGGTTCCTACAGACAGCATGGTGATGAAGGCACCAATGCACGTAATTCCTAGATTTGTTTATCATTCACATTTCCTGGGAGACAGCCATTACCTTTTGCTCAAAGTTTGCCATCAATAAAACTTTTATGGCTCAATGCGGGTAAGGGCATTCAGCTCTGTAATAACAGGCAAAGGGCACTTGGGGGTCAAATTTTATGATCCCCCAGGCCCTGTTTGTCCTTCAGCCAGTGCGCCACGTATCCTTGCTCTCCGGAGTAGGGGAAACCACAGCTGCGCTGCCCCGGGGCCCCGGCCCAGCCTCGCCACGGGCTCTGTACCTTGCCCTGCCTCTCCTCAGCCTCAAAACGACTCTTTCCATATTATGGTGTATCTGCAGGGATTGCTTCACGTGGAAATAGCCAGTGCTCATTACAGAAATTATGCTAGGCCTCTAACTTCAAAATTTAGCTACAGCACGTGCTCAAAAGTTTTATGAACTTTTTTGGAAGAGAAAGTCCTTGCTCCTTGCTTATTTATTTATTTACTTATTAAGGTTCCTGTGTTTTCAAAGCGCCTTGGTTGGTCTGTTCCACTTGCTCCTGCATCTCCTCCCCACCTGTCCCCCGTCCTCAGTGCTGGCTGTGCCACTGCAGAGCAAGACCTGTACCAGCCACTACAAGACTCTTTTTCGTGTCTTTAAGTAGAGGTCAAAGCTAAATTACAGCGAAACAGTAAGTCACCACCAACCTGGTTATAGCGTTAATCACACCCACTTGCACAGAAAGTGCCACTGGACACCTTGCCCCAGACAGACCCTTTGCATTTGTTGCCCTGGGGGCACATGGGCAGACTGGGCGATGAGGAGAGCAGGGAAGCACTGGCCTCTGCCTCACTGTCCAGTCTCAGTCCTGCCCCACCAAATCCTAAAAATTCGCCATTCCTCACAGCGGTAGTCAACAACAATCTACCCAAAGAAGCAAGCCTATTTACAACCCGCCACCTCTCGCGCAATTAACGAATTAAATGAACAGCCGTCTTGATGAATTAAAAGTTGAATCCTGACGATCTCGGAAACGTTTTTAGGAAGATGAAGGGGTCCCAGAACTGTCCCCGAGAAGCTCCCAACGAGCCTTACAGACACGGCAGGCGCACCCCACCTTGCGCTAAAGCTGCTGCTTCTGCACGGAAGTTTTGCTTCTCTACAGCCACAAACAGAGGGCTTCAAAAAACAAAGAAAACTAATAATAAAAGACAGAGAGAGAAAGAGAAAACCACCGAATCACCCAGAAGCCAAGCCACTAAGGCACTATCCCAGAGCAGACACCTCAAAACATTTCACAGTGCTGCCTCTCCACATTACAAACCCAACTAAAACTCAATTAAAAATAAAGCGTCAATCCTACCTAAGAGGAGGCTTCCAGAAAGCAGCACACATAAAAGCCTGCCTGAACTGCATTTTCCTGCGGGACTTGATTCCTTCCCCCAAAAGACAGCGAGCGCACAAAACTACTTACTCTTTCTCTTGAAAAGTTTGAGGAGCGACTTAAGCTTTGTGTTGATGAAAACCACCATTTCCAAGGCGTTTAACTGTGGTCCTGGAGTTTAAATGCCATAAAAAAGCAGGAGTTGATAAAGGCGACTGGATTCCACTCTTCCTGCTCAGACTCTGCACACTAAATTCCTCTTTCCCGCATTCTCACCTTTTTTTTTCTCTTGTCCTTAAATCACAACTTAAAAGCCGTCCAGACTGTTCTCATGCACGAAACCATTTACAATCCTTTAACCTGAACTCCTCCCACAGATGTAGTCTGGTGGGCTGAAACCTGCCGGTTCCCACATGCAAATAAGGAGTTTTTTTTTTTTTTTTTTTT